TTCATTTTAAATCATGGAATTTATGGAATATATTCGTAGGTCAGGGCATGTCTTGGAATGGAGCAGATAATTGTCGGTCCCTTATTCTCACTTAAATGGGTGAGAGTATCAGGCCCTGACGTTTGCCCAGTATCTTTGTCTGTAGGTTCTGCTTAGATCCGTGCCCACTTCTGCTGACTGTTACTAAAATCTTAAACCAGAAGGGAGGCTCTTTAAGGTAAATTTATGTTACGTATCGGAGGCACAGAAACTCAAATAGAATACAGAGGAAGAATAGGTTCCTAGTGGGTGAAATTGATCTGTGTCCAAGTCCTTTCCTGGTGAAACTGGCGTGTGGGAGCCAGCATTCTCCACTTCGTTTTGCCTGGTCATTGTCCATTTTAGGGATGTACTGTGGCTCTTCCTAATTTGCCCCTCTTTGCCACTGTCCTTTTACCTGAATGCTTGTGTTCCAAACCTTGTTTGTTTTTATGTCATCTGTATGCTTATATTGAAGTTCAAAAATGAAGTTCCGAAAAACATGGATGCCCAGGAGACAAAAGACTTAACTTTAATTTCTGTCTCACTCTAGAGCTACAGACTTCTTTTAGATTCGTTTCATGAATAAAAGTAAAAAATATTTTGGGAAAAAAAAATTGTGTTCCAGAAAGGGCATAGAATGAGCAAGGGTACAGAGACAGGACCTACAAGGGACAGAATTTCAGGTAGCTAGACTTGGAGTCTGAAAGTGAGGTGGGTGGAGGGGAGTCCTAGGGGAGAAGTCTGTCCAGCCCTGGGAAGGGTCCGGAGCTGGGCTTTTACTCAGTTTTTCAGGAAAGAGCCCTTGCAGACACGTGATCGACATGACCGATCTTCCTTACGGATACCGATCGGCCAGTTGGGAAGGTAGCAGTGGTGTAATGTGGCATTCCCCAGAGGTAGTTAACTTTTGACTGCTTTGAGTTATGTACAAGAGCTCACACATTCTTGGATCAAAATAGACGCAACTGCCAGGTGTCCTGTATGGTGAGGTAGGTGTGTGGAAAACCAACACCACTTGAAGACCATTCTGTGACCAAACAAGGAGACCAGTGAATTGGAGAGATTTGATAACATTTTTTAAATAAAAGGTAATTACAGACACATGTGCATATATATGTTTAAATTATAACAACAGATAGATGAGGTAAACCAGCTGTGAGCTATGACATGGTCCTTGGGTCCAATGGTCTGCCATTCTCAGGTATGGGCTGCTACTTCCTAGGAGCAGATTATTGGATAAAAATAAGAACAATGAAATAAATATTGATAGTATTTTTAATAACGTATGTTAAATCATTTTTAAGAAGAAATACCGTCAGTATTGTTTTTTTTTTGGATATGCCTGGTACACCTTCCAGGACACCCATGCCTTATACAGACAGTTTGAGAAAGGCCATGGTCAAACAGAACTGGAGTTGCCGCCCAGATTCACTGTTTACAATCCAGGCGACCTTGTCAAGTTTTTCATCTAAAATAAGGGATAATTGGGGCGCCTGGGTGGCTCAGTGGGTTAATGCCTCTGCCTTGGGCTCAGGTCATGATCTCAGGGTCCTGATATCGAGCCCCGCATCGGGCTCTCTGCTAGGCGGGGAGCCTGCTTCCCCCCTCCCCCCGCCCCGCAGCTGCCTGCCTCTCTGCCTGCTTGTGATTTCTGTCTGTCAAATAAATAAATAAATAAATAAAATCTTAAAATAAGGGATAATAACAAAGATGGGATTTTTCTTGAAAATTAAATTAGATACTGTTTTAAAGATACATGGTACTTACAATGGAGTTATACACATTTTTTTTATTTGTTTATTTGACAGAGAGAGAGAGAGCACAAGTAAGCAGAGTGTCAGGGAGAGGGGGAGAGAGAAGCAGGCTCTCTGCTGAGCAGGGAGCCTGGTGTGGGGCTCGATCCCAGGACCCTGGAATCATGACCCGAGCTGAAGGCAGCCGCTTAACCAACTGAGCCACCTGGGCGCCCCTATACACATATTTTTTGGTGTGAAGATTATCTGTTTTTATCACAGTTTTACATTCTGGGAGCAGATGGAAATGTGCCTTACTCTTGGTGTTTTCAACACAGTGCCTAAGCACAGGGTAGCTTTGTCATCTGAGATGCCCCTGGAGAAAGAGGGTCTTACTCAGTGCTTTAGGGAAACCGAATGCACTAGGCTTACGAAGGATGGTAGGTTTGTATACGGTTGTACCTTCAAAACCATGTAAACTGTGCTTCTGGGTGATTCAGGGGATTTTCAAGGCTCACTTTGACTTTCCGTATGTGTGATTTTTGTTTTCCAGATAGACCTTCAAATCTAACATCTGTCTTTAGGAGGTGGTAGTTTGCACAGGACAAATCTTTAGCCAGTAGTGGTACCTTGAAGCTTTTCCTGTATTTAATGAGTTTGCTTCAGTACACCTGGCTATATGCTTAACATTTCTTAATATCCTTTGTAGAATACAGAGGCTTATTCTTCCTTGGAACAGAGAAAATGGAATACTTCATTTCTTGCCAGAGTTGTTACTGGTTGATCCCGGACAACCGTACGACAGGCTGGTGTAAAGGAGTTTCAAATCTATTTATGATGGAAGTACTGTACGAAATAAAACCAATAGCTCCTCTCTATGGTTCTTCAATCCAGGCTTTGTTTTGTGAATCCCCTTACCCGCCCCGCACACGCACACATGCTGTACACACACTCACGCACGCATCCCTGTTATAACATGGAGGTTGTTTATTTCAACAGCTTCTCTGATCTGCTGAAACAGCTTGCAGAGTTTTCTCATACTGACTCTTCCTGTTCTGGCCAAGTGGACCGATCAGTTGAAACATGGTCTTTGAGTATCTGAAGGCAGGAGGACTGGGAATTGGCTCTTGTCGCCTTGCTAGGTTCTTAACAGAATCCAAAGACTCCTGTTTCTCATTTGATACATTGAATCACAGAGAAACTTGGGGAATTGACGGAAACTCTTGAGCAGGTGTAGAATCCTTTTCATTAAATTTTCAAGGAATGAGATGAAAATGAATTTTTAGACAAGATCTCCCTTCGAAGGGTGCCCTGGGTTTCTGAAAGCCCTCGGTAGACAGTCCTTTAAATGGGTGAAGGTGGCCTACTTTGTTCCCGACTTTACTTGGAATGGCCGGTCCGGAAACTAGAGTTTTGTTTTGCTTGTTTGCTTGTACCTAACCTGATTTCATTCTCTTTCGGCATCTTCCACACCTGATTTTACATTACATAACACACCGGGGAAAATACAAAAAAACCCAACTCATTCAATTAAAAAAATTCTTTTTCAAACCCGGCCCCCTACCAGTTTCTGAAATTCCTGATATTTCTTTCAAAGAAGTCATCAGTGTCTTTTTGTTTGTTTGTTTGTTTGTTTGTTTTTTCATTCATTCATTTCCGCAGAAGGGGCTGCGGAGACAAAAGTATTTTTTTTTTTTTAAGATTTTATTGATTTATTCAACAGAGAGAGAGATCACAAGTAGGCAGAGAAGCAGACAAAAGTATGTTTTAAGTTCTGCTTCACTTAAACGTTTTCTGTTCCCGTTGATCACAGAGCAACAGAAGCTTCGAGAATTAAGGGCAAGTAAATCCAGCCACCGAAGCTTATGAGAACTCATTCCAAAAAAATAGTAAATAAATATTTTAAACTTCCACTGACCTTATTAAAACACACAGCCAGAAATACTCTGAGCCATTCTCATAAATTAGTCATCTTCTTGCAAAACAGCTGGTGGCAGTTTGCTGTAATAAAAGAGCAGAAATCAGAAGACTGGGAGATCCTGCCTTGGCTCATTCACAGGGAGATTAAATGACATGCTAACATGTCCGGGATGAGGAGGCCATGCATGAGAGGACTGAACCAGGTGATTGGTCGAAGTTAGAATCCATAGGAAGAGCTTACCGGGAATGTTTGGGTGAGACTAGAAGCTTCGCCTCCCGCAGCGCTGCAGGGTTTGCTAAAGGACTATTAGGGTTTCCTTTCCGAGGACAGATGATGTCTGAGTCAGGATTCTGTTGCAAACTGGACCACTGTCTACTTGACCTAAGCAGAAGGGCCTTAAATAGCTTGCAGGGTTGTTGGGAGGGCTGGAGCAGCAGACTCTAGGCTGAATTTCCAGGAACAGCTCCCAAAGCCACAGCACAGAACTGGGTTATCAGCAGGAGGTGGGGAGGGAGCCTTAGCATCAGGATGTCAGCTGGAAAGCTACCCTTTCCATTACCGACAGGAAATGCCCTATGCTCCGCCTCCTGCCCCTCACTCGGTCCAGATCCAGGTCTTGATCCAGGTCTCGTCCTCGTCTCGTCCTCATCTTTGTGATGGGTAGAATCTAAATCCGAGCTCCTACGTACAGGGGAGTCCTGAGAGGACACCTTTCCAACCTCTGTGTGCCAAATGGGGGTTGGAATATAGCTTCTGAGAAGCCAATCTGTTATATCCACCCTGGACGATATAGCTAAAATATGTATAATAAATAACATTATAATGCTTGTGTGTGTGTGTGTGTGTATGTATATATATATTTACAATATGTAGAGTAGAAGTACATCCTTTTTTTTAGAACTAATTTATGTCAAGGGGTGTCTGGGTGTCTCAGTGGGTTAAGCCTCTGCTTTCAGCTCAGCTCATGATCTCAGGGTCCCGGAATCAAGCCCCACATCAGGCTCTCTGCTCAGCGGGGAGCCTGCTTCCCTCCCCCTCCCCGCCTGCCTCTCTGCCTATTTGTGCTGTCTATCAAATAAATAAATAAAATCTTAAAAATTTAGAATTAATGTCAAGTCACTCTGCCTCTAAAAATAACTATTTCTGGCCATTCCCAAGAAAACGTCTCTGATGAAAATTGAGAGCAAGCGCTATATTATTTCCTGAAGAGGGATTCAAAATTTGGGGTCCTGCTTTCAGATTTAGATCTGTCATTATCTGTGTCTCCCCCTGCCCCCCATGGGAACCCTCCGCCTTCTCAATTGGATGTGCTCTTTGCCATGCAGACCCGTGAACGAAGAGTCGGAGCCTCCCGGGGTTGAGGCTCCCGGCCGCTGGCATGGCGTCTACGTGAGCAGGACGTCTCCGACGCCATCGGAATCTGCGACCACTGTTAAGTCCCTCATCAAGTCATTCGACTTGGGACGGCCAGGTATTTCATCATTTCATCTCATGAGCAGAACTCGCATGCAGACCATGGCCCTGCATATCAAACCTGTCTCTACTCCAACACTGGCCCCGAGGGGATGCAACCACAGGGGCTCTGTCTAGATCATTCCACGTGGAGCCACTGTATCCCAGACACTTGCCACAGCCTGGCGGACGCTGCAGGAAGACGACAGTGAGGAGCCTGGCTCACGCGTAACAAAACCTCGTCTTTCTCTCCACCTCTCCCGTAGCTTTAATTCCAGACTTGCCACCTTCCTTTTCTGCTGCTGTGTCCATTAAACTCAGGTCACGACCACTTCCCTCTTAGCTGGGCCAACCAGAGGCTTCGTTTCCTAGGAAACAAGGTGTTGAATCTTTGCAGTTGGCTGTCTGGCAGGACCCCTGACCTTCCTCACCTCCCCTCTTAGACTTTTCTCTGCCTGGTCTTGTGTGTAACCACCCGCACTGACCTGTCATTCCTGATCTTGATACATTCCCAGCTTTTTCTAGAAACATCTCTCTGGCTCACCGATTCACCTTTCTTCGCTGTTAACTATATATATGAGAAAAACACACACTGTACACACAAAAATATAGTAAATAAAGGAAACCGAGTACACCTCTGTCCAAAATAGCAGTGTATTTCTTCTCTCAACCACAGCAGTTATGCCTGTCATGTAGAGAGACTGAAGTCATAGCTAATGCTAGGACGTACCTGGTGGTCTTTGCTAAAAGAGTTCGCAGCTCAGATTAAGACAAGACCACGAATATTAAAAGATGCAAAAGCCTAGTGGCTACATTCAGTCCATGAAGACGGGAAGTGAGTTAACAATAATAGTTTGTGCAAGAACTTTCCTGTTCCTTCTTACCGTAGATACCTCATCATGTGTGTTTTCTTGTCCCCTGGGGTCCCACCTCTAAGACTAGCCCCCATTCAGTTGACTGCCCCCCCTCAGTTCAACACTAGTCCAGAGGAGAAGACAACAGAGTAAATGTAATCCATTATAAGCAGCATGGGATGGTTTTATAGGAACAAATCAGGAACTACTCTTTGCTACTTGGAACTGAAACTACATAGAAATGTTCCCATTTCTTTTCTTGGCAGGTGGAACCGGACAGAATATTTCTGTCCATAAAGCCCCCAGAAGTCCCCTGAGTGGGATTCCAGTAAGGACCGCTCCCGCCGCTGCTGTCTCCCCAATGCAGGTATTTTGAGGGTCTTGGATATGTGGGTGGTGGTCCAGGCCACGTGGATCCATGATGCTGTCTCATGCTCAGGAAACAAGAAGTGAAAACCACTTGGTGTATTTTTTGAGGCATATTGAACATCATTGTTAATAAGCCATGAATAGCAGGGCTGCCTGGGTGGCTCAGTGGGTTAAGCCTCTGCGTTTGGCTCAGGTCATGATCTCAGGGTCCTGGGATCGAGCCCCACATCGGGCTCTCTGCTCAGCACAGAGCCTGCTTCCCTTCCTCTCTCTCTGCCTGCCTCTCTGCCTGCTTGTGATCTCTGTCTCTGTCAAATAAAAAAATAAAATCTTTAAAAAAAAAAAAAAAGCCATGAATAGTAATAATGAAACTTCCATTGAAAAATTGCGATTTTGGGCACCTGGGTGGCTCAGTGGTTGAGGCCTCTGCCTTCGGCTCGGGTAATGATCTCAGGGTCCTGGGATCAAGTCCCGAGTCGGGCTCTCTGCTCTGCAGGGAGCCTGCCTCCTCCACTCTCTCTGCCTGCCTCTCTGCCTACTTGTGATCTGTCTGTCAAATAAATTAAAAAAAAAAAAAAAAGGAAAGAAAAATTGCGATTTTGATGGGTGTCTGTCTTTGGCTCAGGTCATGATCTCTGGGTCCTGGGATCAAGCCCCACATCGTGCTCTCTGTTCAGTAGGGAATCTGCTTCTCCCTCTGTCTCTGCTCTCCCCTCCCTACTCCCCCTGTGGCTTGTGCATGCTAGTGCTCTCTCTCTCTCCCTCCCTCTCTCTCAAATAAATACATAAAATCTTTTTTAAAAAAATTACAGTTTGAGGCTTAATAAAGTTCTGAGAGAGACACCGTGTAAACCTCATACGATTTGTTAATGACATTTTGTTCCCCATAAGATACATCTGAAGTTTTCAGTTCAATGAAGATTGTAATTTTTACCAGAAGTGGATATTGAACTAGATATTTTTCTCAAGGAAGTGTTACAGAGCTTCTTGGCCTTTTGGCATTTTCTTTTCTTTTTTTTATTTTAAGATTTTATTTTTAAGTAATCTCTGCACCCAACCTGGGAGCTCACAACCCCGAGATCAAGAGTCGCATGCTCCACTGACGGAGCCAACCAGGCGCCCCTCTTTGCATTTTCTAAGACCAAGACTATCCATGTTATAATAACATTCAGCAGCTCCTGCTGAGCCAAGGGCAACGTCATTCACAAGTACCCTTTTTTGGTGTCCTTAGCAGCCAGTGTATGTTGTTTGGGATTTTGGTTTTTTTTTTTTGGACAGAGAGATAGATCACAAGTATGCAGAGAGGCAGTCAGAGAGAGGGGGAAGCAGACTCCCCGCCAAGCAGAGGGCCCGATGCGGGGCTCGATCCCAGGACCCTAAGATCATGACCTGAGTCAAAGGCAGAGGCTTAACCCACTGAACCACACAGGCGTGTCCCCCCCCTTTTTTTAAGATTTTATTCATTTATGACAGAGACACAGTGAGAGAGAGATCACAAGCACGGGGGAGCCGGAGAAGGAGAAGCAGGCTTCCTGCCAAGCAGGGAGCCCCATGCGGGGTTCAATCCCAGGACTTTGGAACCATGACCTGAGCCGAAGGTAGACGCTTAACGACTGAGCCACCCTGGCGCCCCTGTTGTTTGGGATCTTTTCAATTTTTCTTTTTTTTTCTTTCTTTTTTTTTTTTTTTTTTTTTACTTTTTTGCCCTGGAAGATACTTTGTACTACTTCATATGTAAAACCAAGTAAAGCAATTACTTATATTATAATAATCACTGAGTTTTTTAAAGAAACTGAAACAGATCATGCTTCATTTTGACTTAAATTCATTGAGCTACACACACGAGGTTGCTGATAAAACATTTAACAGCTGGCTCCTTGCCAGGGGGTAAAAGCCTGGGTTTGTATTCCGATCGTAGCCAGCATCCAGCTAGCTCCCTGACGTCAGTGAACCTGGAGTTGAGAAGAGACATTTATCACGTATTTCTAGAAAACAGGTGGAGTAAGTGTAAATAACCCCAGTCATCGTGGAAAGACTAATAAATAGGAAGCAGGGAGTTTTGAGTATTTATTACTTTTGCTTATAATATAGTTTAATCTTAATAGGGGCCGTGTTGAAAACTAGTTTGCAAAATTCCTAAAGATTTAATAATTGACCCTTGTGAGCAGGTGCACACCACCGGCTCTGACTCATGTATAAAGTAAAGCACACGCCTTTTAAATATATACAGCTTGAATGTTTCTGGATACACACACCCATGTACCTAACACCAAGATAAAGCATCTTCATCGAATCAGAAGGCTCTCTCCTGCCACCACCCAGTGGGTAATCTATTAATGTAGCCATCATTCTGACCTCTGTTAGCCTTAGATTATTGTCATATTGCTCTAGTCAGTTGAAAAGAGAATGTGTTAGGGACACCTGGGTGGCTCAGTGGGTTAAGCCTCTGCCTTCGGCTCAGGTCATGATCCCAGAGTCCTGGGATCAAGCCTCACGTCAGACTCCCTGCTCAGTGGGGAGCCTGCTTCTCCCTCGCCTCTCTGCTCATGGTCTCTTCTGGCTATCTCTGTCTCTCTCCCTCAAATAAATAAATCTCAAAAAAAAAAAAAAACGAAAGAATGAGTTAAGAACTCTTCCATGCTCCCTAGCCCCAGAAATAACCACTGTTTATGGCTTGTTGTGAATCCTTCTAGAAGTGTTTTTCTCTCATAAAATGTGTGTGTGTGTAGGGAGGAAGAGAAAGTTTTATAAATTGGATTACACTGCACATTGTTCAGACACTGACTCATTTCACTTTGTCATTGGAATGTAGTCCCTGAGGGCATGGATTTTTTTTTTTTTTTTTTTTAAGAGAGAGAGTGGGCAAATGTGTGCACATGTGAGCAGGGGGAGAGGCAGGAGAGGGAAAGAGAGAAGGAATCTTAAGCAAACTCTACATCCAGCACAGAGAGGGGTTTTGCTTGCTGTTATACCTCTTGTCTGCAACAGTGGCTGGCACACAGTCATATCACAGTAGAAGCTCAATAAATATTTGTTGAATGAATGAAGGAAAATACCAGAGACATCTTCAACTGTCAGTGTTTGGAGAAATAACGCATTCTTCTTAAAGGCTCTGTGACATGCAGTGATCTGTTTAAGCACTCCTCTGTTGATGCACCTTCCTGCAAAAACAGTACAGGGAAATTCCTTCCATGGGTTTTCGCCCACTTAAGAAGTTCTTCCCGTAGGAGAACGTTATCAATCACCCTTAGCTTCCTGATACCAGAAATCACTCTAGCCCATCCCGTCCCACAGAAAGGAATTGAATACAGGGAGAGCTCTGGTCTCCACTGCGCTTCTAAGAAAGGTTCCCAGAACATCTCAAAGTTGGCCGGTGAAAGGAACTTATATTTCTGGCAAGACTTTCTCTAACGGCTTGCCTAGAACTACTGCTTCTCTCAAAACGCAGCAGCCGCTTTAGGCTCCCACTGCCACAGACGTGGTCCAGCCCAACCTGACAGATACTGTCCTCCCAGATTTGTTCCAGGATTTCCTTCTTTTAAAGACCGATTAATATTCCATTGTGCATACAGACCGCATTTTTTTTTATCCCATTCATCTGTCCATGGACGGGTAGTTTGTTCCGAGCTCTTGGCTATTGTGAGTAATGCTGCCAGGAACATGGGCACGCAACACATCTCTTCTGGATTCTGTTTTCAGTTGTTTGGGGTATAGGCCCAGAAATGGGACTACTGGGTCGTACAGGAGCTCTATTTTTAATTTTTTGAGGAACCTCCCTACTATTTTCTATAGCGGATGCACCATTTTCCATTCCCGCCAACGGTGCACAAAAATTCCAGTTTTTCCACATTTTTGCTAACACTTGCCATTCCCTCTCTCGTTTTTTAAAATAATGACCCTCCGAACAGGTGTGAGGGGATATATGACTGTGGTTTTGATTTGCACTTCCCCGATGATACTGAGCACGTTTCCATATATCTGTTGGCCGTTAAAAATCAATGTTTTTACGCACCCCCTAGAATATACATAGAATTTTCCAGGAAGGTACTCACAAAGCTGATTAATAATGATTACCTCCCCCCACCCCTGGGGCACCTGGGTAGCTCTGTTGGCTAAGCGTCTGCCTTCTGCTCAGGTCATGAGCTCAGGGTCCTGGGATCAGAGCCCCAACGTGGGGGGCGGGGGGAGAATCCCTGCTCAGCAGGGAGTCTGCTTCTCCCTCTCCCCACCCACCCCCCGTCAAATGAGTAAATAAATTCTTTAAAAAAAAAAAGATTGAAAAAATAAGTTGTTTTAAAAGCTAACCGTGGTGATTCCTATGAGCTTGAGAACTGTTGCATGGACGCGTGCACACACACACACCATGTTTACGTATCAGGTATCACAAGCTCACCATGCTGGTGTGCCCTTTGGTTTTTTAGAGGCATTCAACGTACAACAGTGTTCGGCCGGCCAGCAAAGGTGTGACTCAGCGTTTGGATCTTCCAGACCTTCCCCTCTCAGGTAATACCTTAAGCAGCAAACGCTTTTGGGATGTCTGTGTGGCTCAGTTGGTTAAGGGTCTGCCTTCGGCTCAGGTCCTGATCCCAGATTCCTGGGATCGAGCCCCACGTCCTTGTAGGGCTCCTTGCTCAGCACGGAGTCTGCTTCTCCCTCTCCCTCTGCTCCTCCCTCCTGCTCGTGCTCTGTCTCATTCTTTCTCTCTGACAAATAAATGAATAAACTCTTTAAAAAAACAGGGGCACTTGGGTGGCTCAGTGGCTTAAGCCTCTGTCTTCAACTCGGGTCATGATCCCAGAGTCCTGGGATCAAGCCCGGCATCGGGCTCTCTGCTCAGTGGGGAGCCTGCTTCCCTCCCTCTCTCTGCCTGCCTCTCTGCCTACTTGTGATCTCTCTCTCTCTCTCTCTCTGTCAAATAAATAAATAAAATTTTTTAAAAATAAAAAATTTAAAAATTTTAAAAAAACAGCAAATACGTTTGACCTCTTATTTTGTGAGATTTACTTTTCTTCTTTGCCTGAAACCGAGCTTAGAAAAATAGTTGATGGCATTTATTCCAAACAATTTAAGACTCATGTTTGTGTTTTGGTTGTTAGATCCTACTTCTGCCACTGTACTTCTCAGTGCGCATCTGTTCGGGAGAGATGTCTAGCTTTGGGGAGTTTTTTGTTTGTTTTTTATGGAATCTCAAGAGAATATCTTAACCATCTTTAGAAGTAACTATTTTTAGAAAAAAAAATCTTATCTGATTCTGAAGGTCTCTTGCTTCCACAATTCCTAAAATATGCCTCTTTCATGCTGTCTTTGCCTTTGAATGTAGCCCTCTTCCTGTTGTTACTCTGGTATTTTGTAAAATCCGGACCCTGCCGGTGACACCGTGGTTGGAATCCACAATCCTCCCTGTCGCTTTGTCACTCCTGCGCCTCGAGTGCTGGTGGCCGGTGTGAAGCCGCAGTTACAGAGCGGGGCACACGGGGGTGGGCTTGCCTCTTGGCCCCATCATTCCACCTGCCGGGGCTGTGGTTTCCTCATATCTGGGTTGGAAATAGTGCTGTCTCCCTCAGAGGTTCGCTCCAGGGTCTGAGTGAACGCAGCTGGCTGTGGGCTGAGTGGAAGGGGTGACCTTGACCTTAGCTTCTGTTCCCTTTCTGCTCAGTTCACCTGTGAGAGCAGACATTAGCAGAAGGGTAAGCTTGTCCCGAGTATATGCCTCAGAAATGTATGTGTAGGACTCTGTGTCCTTACTGTAAAGCCACAGAAAAGATGAAAAGAACACTAAACAAATTATTTACTGGTGCCTCTAGCAGGGCAAGAAAGCCAGAAATCCAGACTGCGTAGATAGAAAGCTGTGGGACCAGGGTGGGATTTTTTCTGATTCTTTCTACCATGCTGCCTTCTGGTAACAAGGCAGAGGATTGCTCTGATCAGCAACGTCATAAAGAAGTGATAAAAGCTTATCATACGAGGACTTGGAGTCAGAATAATGACTCCGAGGAAGAAGGAAATGCTAGGGGCACCTGGGTGGCTCAGTGAGTTAAGCCTCTGCCTTCAGCTCAGGTCATGATCTCAGGGTCCTGGGATCGAGCCCTGCAGGGTCCTTGGGCTCTCTGCTCAGCGAGGAGCCTGCTTCCCCATCTCTCTCTGCTTGCCTCTCTGCCTACTTGTGATCTCTCTCTGTGTTAAATAAATAAAGAAGGAAATACTGTCTAAGGAGAGGAGAATAAGAGAAAAAAAACAAAAAAAAACAAAAAAAAAAACAGAAAGGGTGAGTGAAGCCAGTAGAGCAGGCTCTTTTTTCTGTGCAGACGAGTTCCCCCTTCCTAGAAGTGGAAGGGAGGTCAAAACAGAGTATTGGAAACCCACCTGATTTGCGTTCTCTACACTTGCTATGTAGTGGAAAATCGGGGATAACTTGGTTACAGGCACAGTGATGTATTCCTAGGCAAGCTTATTTTTGTTTTGTTTTGTTTTGTTTTGTTTTTGTAATTGTGGCTAAAATACCCGTAACACAAAACATACCATCTTAACCATGTTTTTAAGGACCACATGAGCTTTTGGTCACAATATTTGTGTCTTCTCTGTCCCTCCCACATTGCCTTTTGTGCGAAGAAGCCGTCGTTTTAATTGACAAGCTAAATCTGGCGCTCAAACCCTAGTAGTTCTTGCCCCAAAGTAAACCATTCCTTGTCAGTGCCCCCCCTTTGCCCCACCAGACACCTGTCTACGCAGCTGATTCTATTTACTGTACTAAAAAAGAGTTACGCGGTAAAGACTGCTCGCTCGGGTTAGCCTTGCCAGCATTGAGGTCATCAGAAGCTGCTGAAAGGAGATTAATGCACTGTTTTTGTTGTTCTCTTTAGTGATGTAAGCACTGTTTTCCCTCTCCTCTTCAAGCTCATTAGCCTCACTCCCCACTTTGCTACCCATAATTGGCGGCTCTTAGCCATACAAGCATTGTTTTCTTCCATGACTATTTATGGTGTCATAGGAGGCTACCGTGGGCTCAGCCTGGTCACAGAGGCCTGTCGTGTGGCGTTGAGCAAGCCACCCTTGCTCTCTGAGCTCCTGTTGCCTTTGTCAGTACAAACCAGACACTCTCAAGGTTTTCTCCCAATCTGTGCTCTGGTGGTCCTCAGGAAATACCATCCGGAGGATTCCGCCTGTTTCATTAACCTGTTTTGACTCCTAATAGAACAGCAGAGAGGAGTCTTTAAAGAATTTATGTTTGCTTATTTTTAGCCAACCAGACCCTATGACTGGAATGGCTTTTTTTTTTTTTTCCCTATAAAATCGTTACCATTCTTGGTACCCAGCTTTTTGCCTGCTGCCACCTGTGACTTGAAAATCCCACTGGCTGTCTTCCAGCAAGCTCTCTCTCTCTCAGATGCCTGTCAGTTCAAACAAAGTGCTTTACTGGGAACAGGGCTAGCTCTGAGCGGGTAGGACTGTGCAGAGGGTGTAGAAGGGCTTTGGTTCACGGCTCCAAGGGTGCCATCTTGAAATTCTTCATAATTTTTGAATGAGGGGCTAATTTGGCATTAGTCTCTGTGAATTATGTAGTCAGTCCTGCCTGGAGAATCCTTTCTAGAAAAGGCCATGTCCCAATGTGCGTTTTTTTTACTTAACTCTATAAACCTACATTTATTACATATTTATATTTAGGAATCCAATGAGAATTCTGTTGTACTTGAGAAGAAAGTGTGGTGACCAGTCAAATTTCTCTTCTTCAGGAATAGGTGACTATGTTGTTCTCCACACAGATCTTCTAAAGGGAAGGGGTGAGGACCTGAAACCGAACCCTTATCTCCGGAAGAGCCCCTCGCTGGAGTCCCTGAGCAGACCCCCTTCTCTGGGCTTCGGGAACACGAGGCTGCTGAGCGCGTCCACTGGGGGCTTGAAACCACAGAGCAAACTCAGGTATCACGTTTTACACAGTGAGACGTCGCTGGGCTGGTGGTCTTGAAATCTTCCTTCTGTTTCACCACCTATGTTCAGTTTACTTTTATGTGTATTTTTCCTGAATGAAAACAACCAGACATAGAACTGGGAAGCGGGCCCTGGACAGCAGGACCGTGCAAAATGAAATAGGGCCGTGAAACCAGAAGTGGATGCAGACTCTTGGGGGGTCATAAGTTGGGTTGAGAAGTCTGGAAAGAGGGGGGCAGCATTTCTGCCAGGAGGCCTGCGGGGGCTCCCGTGAGGAGCCCTGCACAACATTCAGGGAGCTAGGGGCGGTTTCGTTTGGGTAGACTGTCCTGGGGGCTTCATGAGGACAGGCCCTGGCAGACACATCATCATCATCTCCTAGTATGGGCTGGGGAGGCGGACAGGTTCTCAGATTATCACTGCTAGAAAGGGAGGTTGGGGTCACCTTGTGAATGGTCTCCATTGCCAAGGTTAGAGGTTTCTACTCTTTCTGGTAAAGCAGGGAGGAACCATTAAGTTTGTGGGATTCGGATTTGGATTTTGAGTAGCAGTGCAGGAAACAGTACATATGGGAAGGAATGGAGGGGCGCTTTGAAGTCAGCATCACAAGCACACTGGCAGTGATGGGAGGGGGAGAGCAGGGGAGAGAGACGACAGAGACGGCCAGGGTGGCCACCAGAGGCCCGGCGTGGCTCCCGCCTCTGCCACCTCTCCCTGTTCAGTGCTCCTGCTCCCCCAGGCCCCAGCAAACCTCCTCCAGCCACTTCCCCACCCTCAGCTCTCCCGTGGCTTCTCCATGTGGAGTCTGTCTTCAAAAACAGGAAGTGCATCCCATGCAGACCTTCTCAGAAACCTCCCCTGACTTGTCATGCACCCTTCCACCCACACTCCACGTGCTGCTCCCTGCGTTCCCCACAGCTCGGCCCCCCCAGCTCACCTGCCACTTCCATTCTCAGCCTTTGCAGCTGACACGAGCTTCTGCGACCACTCACAAGGTCCCGGCCTGAATCGTCTCCCTCCTGTCCTCTCACACTCCTGAGTGCTTCCCCTGCAAAGTCAAACCCTCCACGGGCTGGTAGCCAGCCACCCGGCTGGCACCAACACCCCCTTTCTCTGCCTTCCGTGTCTTAGGCTCATGCGGGGTATTTAATGCACTGTCATGTCGTGTGAGCCTTTGTTCCCATGTATTTAGGCTGTGCTATAGTACACAGTAAATCTTCATCTCACACGTCGGTCTCTTTCTCGGGCCCCGGGGCCATGCTACACACACAGCACCGGGCCAGCCAGTGCTTGGGAACAGGTAGACAGACGAATATACAGAACTAGCTGCTTGGGGAGTAACGGCTGCTTGACGGACATGCAACTACCATTCTGGGTATTGTAAAGGATTTTATGAAAGTCTGAATAAGTTCAGCTCTTGGCAGGTCTTTGGGTGTAGCGTATATTTGGACCCAAATAGATGAAGTCATGCCTTTCAGAGATTGAACTTAAAGCCTCAGATACTACATATTAGCCTTGTTTATGCACAGGAGATTTAAGTGATCAAAACTGCTTTTAAGGCCCAGAATTAGTGCTAGCCTGAAACTGCTCTTTTCTTTATGCCAGAAACGTGTACAAAAAGGCTATGTGTATGTTAATATGCAATTTATATTATTACCCTTCATCATGAAAGATTAAATTAGTGATTAATGTGTTATTTTATTTTCGTATTCACGTCATTGACACAAACAAATGACAGGATAGAAATCACTTGTTTTGGAAGTTCTCATCCTATTATTATTAATTTGGAGGGAGTGCCGTATCTAGTTAACATTATTTTTTAAAGAAACCTGTTCTGTTAGTGTTGTGGTCATCCATGGATACAGAAGCTCTTTTCGAAACCTGCATTTCAGTCTTCCCTAGTTTGTCAGACCTAGAAATTCAGTTCTCAGCGATGAAGTAACAAACAGGCACAGTTAACATAACTTCATAGTTAACAGCAACTCTGACCACAGAAACTCGGGGACTTAAGTTTACAAATATACCAGGTGCAGGGGAAACAGCCATCAAATTACACAAGAAAAATTTTAATGCAAGTATGACATTTTCTTAAAAATCTCTCTACCTTAATTCAGGTGGCTGAGGTCCTCAATCATCCCATTACTCCTAGAAATATTTTAAAAGTATTTTTATTAAGGGGCACCTGGGTGGCTCAGTCAGTTAAGCTGCTGCCTTCGGCTCGGGTCATGATCCCAGAGTCCTTGGATGGACCTCCGTGTCAGGCTCCCTGCTCAGGGGGGAGTCGGCTTCTCCCTCTGCCCCTCTGTCCCCACTTGTGCTCGCTCTCTTGCTCTCAAATAAATAAAATATTTTTTAAAGTATTTTTATTAAGGGGGTGCCTGGGTGGCTCAGTGGGTTAAAGCCTCTGCCTTTGGCTCAGGTCATGATCCCAGGGTCCTGGGATTGAGCCCCACATCGGGCTCTCTGCTCAGCAGGGAGCCTGCTTCCCTTCCTCTCTCTCTGCCTACTTGTGATCTCAGTCTGTCAAATAAATAAATAAAATCTTTAAAAAAAAAGTATTTTTATTAAGTATCAGAATGTTACAAAACAGTAACAATAAAATGCTTGTAACGTATGAAGAATAACAATGCTGCTGGATATCAGCCTTCCAGTTTGAGGAAAATAAAGTTATTATTACCATTGAAATCTCCTGGCAGCCCCCCCCCTCTGCCCCACTCCAGAGCCACCACCGTCTCTGACTATGGTATATGTCGTCCTTTGCTTTTCTTTCCCAGTTCTCACAGCGGATGCTTGTATCCCCAAACAACATCAACAATACGTTACTAGTTAAAAATTTTGTATACATGGACACATGTTGTGGTTTTTTCTTTTTTTATTTCAAAATTGTTCGTGCTGTTCAAGTTATTGCATACATCTGTAATTCATCAGTTTTTATTGCTGTACAGTATTCCATTGTAGGAATACACTGCCGTTCTCCCATTTTCCTGAGGATGTACATTTGACTGTTTTCAGTTTTTTAGTATAAAAAGTGCTACTATGAGCATTCTTGCATATGTGCTCTGATGATACACACATCTAGGGGTAACTCCTGTTTCACGGGCTTTGAATTGGACAGGTCCACTCGGATGTGGATTTCTTTCTGATAAATACAATACAATATTATATATTTATTTTCTCTTTTTTATCATTTTCTTACTATGTTCTTTCTCTAGCTTTTATGTAGGACTATAGTGTACAATATATATAACCTACAAAATACGTGTTCATCAACTATATGTTATCGATAAGGATTCCTGTCCCCAGTGGGCTATTAGTGGTTAAGTTCAGGGAAAATCAAAAGTTGTACGTGGATTTTCAGCTGTGTGTGGGGCCAGCGCCCTTTTCCCCATGCTGTTCCGGGGGTGCACATGCTCATAAATTGCCTATTAACAGCGAATGTTCCAGAGATACATCAGCTGTTTCGTTCCTGCTCTCCTTCATGCTGTTCCATCGCTGGGGGAATCTAATTCTCGGTTCACGATAGTCATCGTGGAAGACGCTGTGTGGTCTTAAATCCCTTGGTAGTATGTGAATAATCTTAGGTAGCGTAAAGATCAACAGATGTCTACAGCAAACTGAGAATTAGAATGCTGTTGTGTATTAATTAGTAAAATCATTTCCTTTGGCTAAACAGGTACTCAGAATTGAGTTAACGTAGCACACACTGAGGAGGGCCCCCTTTGGAGTGTGCAAAGACCCTGTTTTGAGTCATTTTTACTGATGATCACCTGGTATCTCCTTCCCAGCACCAGCCAATCTGGTGTTTTTCAATGCCCTTTCGGTCTTCCTTTTATATGTTATGTAGATAAGGTGAAGCCTTGAAGCTTATGGAGTGTTTTTTTCTATAGCATCTTCAGTTAAAATGGCACTGTACTTAAGTCAATTAAGGGCTAGGTGGACGGAGCCAACAGATGGATTTAAAAAAACAAAAACAAAACCAGCCTCTTTCCAGACTTCTGATAGCCAAGAAGTACAAATTAATTTTTCTTTCGTATCGTGAGACATAATAAAATGTACTATTAATGTGACCAATTTGGTTGTTTCTCTTGAGTCTCCCTGGGTGGGCCTAGACTTTGGCTTTTCTAATCTACTTATTTGTCTCATATGTACTTGAGGCTTCTAAACATTAGCATCTTCTCTTTACTCTGTGCTCTTCTTTCTAACCAGCGTGGAAAGAAGAGACCCGCTGGCTGCCTTGGCCCGGGAATATGGAGGCTCCAAGCGTAACGCTCTCCTGAAATGGTGCCAGAAGAAGACAGAAGGCTACGCGGTGAGTGACGGCATTGGCCATCCTCCAGCCAGCTCTGGGCAACAGCAGTCCTGGGCCCATATTTGTCCTGTGCATGCATATGCATGGCGTCTAATTGTTGCCCTTCTGTTCTCCTAGGGAGGGCCACGGTGGTAGTAGGGTTTGCTGTGGTGCCAAGTGGGACTGAAAGCCAGTCCACCCAACAAGCCGTGGACCTCAGTGCAGGTCCGTGTCTCCTGTGGAAGGGACACCTTTTTCTTTGCTCAGAGGAGATGTAGACTCCGCAAGCAATGGGCCCAACAGGCTGCCTCAGTCCAGGGAAGACAGCCTTGGCTGAAGCACCTTTCCAAAGAGGGTGCCTCTCCCTGATTGACACAAAGGCCCCATTTTTTCTGCTACTTTAGAGCTGTTTGCGTTTAAAGTTTCAGTTTATCAAGACAGTATTTGTCTTCTGGGAAGGTTACACAAGGAAGTAATGCTTGACAGAAGTGTAAGCTTTGTTATTATGAAATATCATATACAAAGATAAAAATTCACCAAATAGCAGGTACAGTTTCATGGGCCGTTATGACGCGAAAACCTAGGCCGCCACTACTCCCTTCCAGAAACAGAGCATTGTCAATTCCCCCAAACCTTTTGTGTGACTTTCTGATCCTAGCCCTTCCCCACTCCCAAAGACAAGTGTTGTCCTCAGGTCTTTTCCTCATGGTTTTCCGCAAAAAGCAGGCATCCCTAAATGCTGTGTTAGTTTTGCCTGCACTTGAACTTTACATAAATACAATCAAAACCTGTCATACCTGCATCCGGCTCTTACCCTATGATACGAAGTCATCAAGGCTTCTCTGGTTTGTTCATTTTCTTCACCCTTTGGAACCTGTTGTGGGATCACACCCATTATTTATCCGCCCCTTCCCCTCTTGCTGGACAGATGAGTTATTTCCAGTTCAGGGCTGTCGTTACGTGGTGCTGGTGCGTTCTCGTGCATTTTTCTCGGAACACAGGTGCACTCATTCTTTCTGGATCTACACCTAGAAGTGAAATTACTGGGCCATCAGGTGTGCCCATATTCAAGATCGTGCCAAACAGATTTCTGAAACAGTTGTGCGGTTTGTTTCCCCTCCCCTCCCCCCACCCCCAGCAAGAGAGGCAAGATCGTTTCTCTGCACTTTCACCGACAACAGTCTTGTTACTCCCAGTCTTTGTATAAGCGTGTAGTGGCATCTCCTTGTGCTTGGGACTTGTACTTCCCTGCTGGCCCATGAGGCCGAGGACTTTTCCACATGCTAAGTGGGTGACATCGGGGTAATCTCTTTGGGGATGTGCTCTGTAGGTCTCTTGCCTGTCTTAAAATCAGATTGTCAGGGCGCCTGGGTGGCTCAGTGGGTTAAGCCTCTGCCTTGGGCTCAGATCATGATCTCAGGGTCCTGGGATCGAGCCCCGCATCAGGCTCTCTGCTCAGTAGGGAGCCTGCGTCTCCCTCTCTCTCTCTCTGCCTGCCTCTCTGCCTACTTGTGATCTCTCTCTCCCTCTATCAAATAAATAAATAAAACCTTTTAAAAAAAAAAGTTAGAGGGACGCCTGGGTGGCTCAGTGGGTTAAAGCCTCTGCCTTCGGCTCAGGTCATGATCCCAGGGTCCTGGGACCGAGCCCCACATCGGGCTCTCTGCTCAGCAGGGAGCCTGCGTCTCCCTCTCTCTCTCTCTGCCTGCCTCTCTGCCTACTTGTGATCTCTCTCTCTGTCAAATAAATAAATAAAATCTTTAAAAAAAAAAAAGGTAGAATAAAATCAGATTGTCTGTCTTTCCCTGGTTGCTTTCAGGAGCTCTTGATATATTCTAGATATCCGTTCTTTGTCAAATAGAGGTATTGCAAATGTCTGCTCCCACAGTGGCTTGAATTTTTGCTTTTTTGTTGAACAAAGTCTTTCATTTTAATGACGTCTCATTTATCCGTCTTTTCCCAGTGGCTAGTGCTTTCTGTGTCCTGTTTCAGAAATCTTTGTCTGTTCCAAGGACACAAAAATATTCTCCAGTGTTTTCTTCTGTAAGTTGGATTGTGTTCCCTTTCCCATTAAATAGCAACCCTCTTTAAAATTGTCATCTCCAGGGCGCCTGACTGGCTCAGTCAGTAGAGCATGTGACTCTTGATCATGGGGTCATGAGTTTGAGCCCCACTTTGGGTGCAGAGATGACTTAAATAAATAAATAAATGTCAAATAATCAAAATAAATTTGTCATCTCCTCCCTTCTCCCCACGCAGGCCCTGCTTTCCCACACCTTTACCCCACTTTGCTAAAAATTCTGAAGATTCCGGTACCCCAACACTCCTTCCCCAACCTTAAGCTTTGAGGGAGGCGGGGACAGAGAAAGAAAGACCCGAGCCAGAAAACAAGGCCTCGGCCAGAAGCCAGGCCCCAGATACTTGAGCGGCAGCAGGGCTGGGATGGGATTGTCTTTATAATAGCAGGAGTCAAGGGTCTTAAAATCAGATTCTACCCAAGAATAGAAGTGTTTTGTATCTTTGACATGACCTTTTTTCCCCCCCCCGTTTCTGCTAAAATAGAAAGAGAAAAAAATTAGTTGGGTTAGTGGCCAGTAAGAAAGACCCCCAGAGTATAAACTTTGTTTCCAATGCATTGTTTTCTCCTTTAGTTGCTCTCTGAGCCCCCTGCTTCAGCCCACTCTGAGGGTCGAAACCACCCTGTAAAGGCAGGCCACCCCAATGACAGCATCCCTCCGCACATCAGCCACGTTGCCGAGGAAATGGAGAAGCTTAAGGAGTGGGGGAGAGAAAGCTGATTCTGGGAGGCTTTAGGGTAAGGGAAGTAGGGGTGGCCTCAGAAAGGCCAGGAACAAGGTCTTGGCCCTGGCTGAGCCGCATGCGGTCATAGCCACTTGACTGAGCTATCGTTTCCCCACCTTACAGAAGTGGATTGAGGGAAGTGCTAGGTGGACACAAAGAGATGATGAAAATTTCCAGGAAGAATTGGTCCTTTGGCATGGAGTGTTATTATAATTAGAATGCAGGAGAGGATTGTACAATCAGCTATTTGCCATCATAAGAGCGAGAATTATATTTCCTGCTGTAGTGATGTTTTGTTTTGTGAACGTCTTGTACAAGTTCTCAAAGCATGTTACGCTTAATGAAACCCAAAACTCATTCTGCCTGAAAAGTATTTTTTTTTTCATTTGTCGTTAAATCTCTGTAAATTTAGAGGGAAACACAAGTCACATGTGTCTGATTTATTTACTCCTCGCAAAATATCCTCTGTCCAGACCTGTTTGTTTGAGATGTCTCTTAAGCCTTCTAAAGATTGTTCTCTCTGACTCAGGAAGCCAAAAGTAAATTGTAGAAAACTCAGACAATTCTGCTAAAAAAAAAAAAAAAAGAAAGAAAAAGAAAAAGCAGTAGCCATGTACATTTTCACTCGAAAGAACTTTCTTTTCAGCCCACCAGAGTATAGCATGGTGGGCTCTGTCAAAACTCTCCATAAAAATCCATATGGCTTTTTAGGGAGGGCTCTGTTCGGTGTCACCTTATATTTTCAGTTCTGGGACATCAGCAGTGAAGAAAACAGGCAGAGGAGCGCCTGGGTGGCTCAGTGGGTTAAAGCCTCTGTCTTCAGCTCAGGTCATGATCCCAGGGTCCTGGGATCGAGCCCCGCATCAGGCTCTCTGCTCGGCAAGGAGCCTGCTTCCCTCTCTCTCTGCCTGCCTCTCTGCCTGCTTGTGATCTCTGTCTGTCCAATGGATAAATAAAATCTTTAAAAAAGAAAAGAAAACAGGCAGAATGTCTGCTCTCGTGGAGCTTCCATCTTCACGCAGACCGACGATTCTGATTAAAAAGTAAGATACATACTTATTTGAGTGTACTGTGGAGAAAGGTCTGTGTAGGAGGCTTAGGAGTGCCGGGTGTGTGGATGACGCCACCATCCTACGAAGGCCAGGGAGGTGACACGTGAGCCATGGCTCACTTTCCCTGATGGAGGGGAAGACTTGCATCCTTTCATCAAGGTTTATCCCACGCCAGGTTCTAGGCCTGGAAGGTCAGAATGAGAAAACATCGTTACCTTAGCAACTGCATCCTCTGGAATTTAAGTAACACACGGTGGCAGCTCTGAAAAGGTAGAACGGTGGGTCAGACCCTCTGTGGAGCCCCAGGTTCAGCTTTGGTTGTCTTGAGGTAGCCCCAGAACTGAGATTCAGGGGGGACATGAACATGCAGTCAGTCCAGAGTGAGGCCTGCTCTGAGCTCCAAGCGGCTCTCAGCAAAGAGGAGACCTTTCTAAACATTCTACCCCACTCACATTTCCGTGGATTTTCTTTTTAGAATCAAGGTTCCAGGAAGCCCTTGCACATTACTCTCGGTCCACAGGCTGCCTGTGAACTATATCCCAAGCCCAGGATAGGTTGGACCCGTGGAACCCTACATCTCCCTTTTTTAATCTGCCTTTAATTCCTTCTTTGGGGTTATGACAGAAATTTGCATCTCTCATGCAGAGAACCCCTTTTTTGGGTTCTCTAGGGGGCCAGAAGACAAGATGGTGGCGGTGATAGGCAGAATTCTAAGAATGACCTCCAGTGACCCTCTCCCTTAAATAATTTCCTCCCCACATATGGCAAAAGGGAGGTGGTCTGGGTAGACCTAACACATGAACCCTTTAAAAGCTGGCATTTCCTCTGAAGCATCATAAGGACTCATTGCACCATTGGTGGGCTTGAAGGTCAAGGGGGCCCATCAGGAGTCGAGAGAGGTCCCTAGCTGATAGCCAGCAAGGAAACCAGGACTTTCTAGCGCTAAGGCCTTGGGAGTGCTGAGGTCCTACCAGTACCCAGAAAACGGTATAGGAGGGGGGCTCCCCTCAGTTGTGAAGTTGTGAAGACACTTTGGCGCTGCAGTGTCCTCTGCCATTGCTGTCCCTGTCCTGGAGCCCTCGGACCTCAGCAAGGCTAAGGATGGTCATTGCACTTGACCTACTCCCCTCCCTCCGCTGAGGGACCTGTCCTGGATGAGTGAGTGGA